CAGACTTTGGCCTCTTCAAGGACTTCTCAGTACAGAACCATGGGATAGAGCCCTGGATGGCAGAGGGGCCCATGAATGCTGGCTGAATTTCAAGTATCACCTCTACCAAGCTCAGGAACAATGCATCCAACAGGGGGAAAATCAGGCAAAAATGCTAGGAGGCCATCATGGATGGGTAAGGAGCTGCTGAGCAACCCCAGATCAAAAAAAAAGAAGCTTTCAGGAAGCTGAAATGAGGACAAGTGGCCTGGGAAGGAAACAGGGGAATTGTACAGGAAGTTAGGGACAAGGTTAGGGAAGCCAAGGCCCTGATAGAATTGAGTCTGGCTGTGGATATTGAGGATAACAGAAAGGTCTTCTATAGATATGTTGGAAGCAAAAGAAATACTAGGTATCCCTAGTTATCACTTGGACTCTCTCCGATAGGAAATAGGAGACATGGCTACCCTGGACAAACAGGCTGAGGTTCTCAACAACTTCTACACCTCACTCTTTAACAGCAAGTGCTCTGGCCATGCTGCCCTGGTCAAAAAAGACAAATGCAGGGCTGACAGAATGAACACCTTGATCCCACTGCAGGGGAGGATCAGGCCCAAGACCATCTAAAGAGCCTGAATATGCGCAAGTCCATGGGACCTGAGTAAATTAATCTGTGAGCTTTGAGGGAACTGGCAGATGAAGTTGCTAAGTCACTATCATATTTAAAAAGTCATGGCAGTGAGGTAAATAGGGAACTAACCCTCATTTTTATAAAAGGGAAAGCAGAAAATCTGGAGAACTACAGTCTAGTCAGTCTCATCTCTGTGCCATGCAAGCTCGTGGAGCATTGCTGAGCCCCTGGGCAATGAGGCAGCACTGCAGTAGCTACCTAGCCTTCCTAAACAACACATTCACATCACTTGTAGGGAAGGACAGTGCCTGAATCATGTGCAAGATATGCTGCTGAGCAGACAGAAGGATCATGTGTCCTTTGTTTCCAGTTTCTTTCCACTTTCATTTCTCTTCTTTCGTTAATAGTTGTAGTTTAAAGGAGATTGGAGGGTTTTGAGGTTTTTTTTGGTTTCTCACCAAAGTGCCCAATGGCATTATTAATTCTGTGGAATAAAATTGTTTAATTGTGTGGAATTAAAGAAGAGACAGTTACATCCTTCAGTGATCATTAAGAGAAACAATTGTTAATTGGTAGCTTCTCACTTCTTGTTTCTATATATGCCAACATTTTTAAAAATAAAATTACTTGGCAATCATTATAAAGTGTTCATTTGTATACCATACCATTATGAGGAGTCTTTCATGCATAAATAATGTAGCCCTAGTTTACTCCAGTTTAATCCTCTCCGAGGATGTGAACCTCCATAGCAATTACAGATTGATTTACTGTGAAGCAAGACTATTCTGCTCTTGAATGAGTGTATCTGCAGCAGTGATTAATGTGCATTAATGCTGATGTCACTCCTGTAGCTACTTTGTTTTAACTTTTCTGAGTATTTTAGACATGGCTTTAATTAAAAGGTTTCAGTACTTTTGTATCAATAATATATCCAAAACAGACGAAAGGGAATTTTGGTGCCGATGTGGGCACTTGGACTCTGAGAATATTTGAATATATTTGGCCCTGGAAACAGTTCAGGTTTATGATGGGAATTCTGACAGCATATATCTTATAATTTCTCTCTTTAGTACCATTATGATTTCATGGCCTTAGTGAGAATTCCGATCTCTTTTCTGTTCTCATTCCCTGTATCTGACTCTGCCTTTTCCTCATAAAGGCCTGTTTGTCCTTTATTTTCCAAAAACCTGAGCAGAACATAAGAGGGAAAAAAGTTTATTGCAACAGTTGGGTAATTTGACTCCACATCACAGACTAAGACGCTGCTCTAATTTCTTTTAGATGTTGTACAATGAGAGTACATGTTGGTGCTGCCCAAGAATACTTGTAGTACAGGTATGGGAAGAGGCTATAGATGGAAACAGATGGGTGAAGAAGTAGAAGAGATAATATTGGTCAGTTCACCAACTAAAATAAAATGAACCAGCTGTTGAGTTTCACTGCTATGTTTTAGAATAGTAGAGCTGTGTGTGTGCATGTGGGAGGGTCACTCTCCTCAGCATTGCCATCATCGAAGCAGCAGGCTTGCAGTGCCAGCTGCACTTTGGGTATGGAAATGCCCTGCTTCTCCACTGGCTGTTTCCTACCATTGTCACTGCAAAGCCAGGTTTGGTCACTGGCATTTCAGCCTACTTTCAAACAAAGTGCAGCAGTTACTGTGATTGCAACATTTCATGCTGGTAAAATGGAGGAGATTTTTCATTACTAAAAGGCAGAACTTCTACTCACAGCATTTCTCCATCTGTGCCATGTCCAGACAAGAGAGTTAGACTTTGCATATTTTAAGAATATTGTATTAAAAGACTTTGGAATTTTGTAAAAAGAAAGTGTAACAATAATCATATTACCTAACCTATTCCATTAGCTTTAAAATGTATACATGTAGTTAACTGCAGTATTAAAAACTTCATAAGCATAACTGAACATCAGTCTCTCAGCATATAATAATTACATATTTTACCTAGATTTTCAATGGCATTTTCAGTTCTGTATTGTGGGTGCTTTTATGGACTTCACATTTTGTACAGTTACCAGAGTTTTGAATCAAGTGCTGAGGAGTAATTATTCTTTAAATGTTTAAAGGATTAGCAAGAATCTCATACTGACCTACTAAGGTACCCATAAGTAAAGTAACTTTCTTCTTAACTGAATGATTATGCAGGAACCTGTTTCCTATTTTCTATGTTTCACTAATAGAAAGGTTTTGATGTGTTCATACATGTCAGTATTATAATGGTTGCTCTGTTAACTGTCAAGACATATTTTTCACAAACACAAAACATCTCTGGTTTCTGTGTATACAGATGTTCCTCATTGCTAAAGACCTAGGTAAAGAGATAAGATTGTTATTACCTTAAAGGCCTAACCCACTCCCCACCCCATGGGGGTTTTTTTTGCAAGTGGGTGTTGATAGTGCTGCTGGAAATATGACTGCTACTGTATGTGCAGCTAGACAGTGAAAAAAAAAGTGCACTTCCATATTTGAAATGGAAATAGAACAATAAAACCAATCAAAATGTAAAATGTGTAGAATATATGAGATGTAAATGGCAGAGAGGCTATCAGAAGATACTATTATGAAGTGACATCCACACTCCCCCTCCATATTGATAGTATTGAATTAAAACCAGGAAACTACATGACAAACTGCATTGCAACAGTTATAATTGTTGTATTTTCCCCTCTGTTTATTTTTAAACCATAGAAGTTCTGATGTGAATTTAGGTCATGAAGAAAAACATCCTTAAAGCAAAATGTATGAAAGACATTAATATACATTTAAGTGCTTTTGAAAATCTTCAAGGAATTTAGGAAACTTGAATTTCCAGAAAGACCAATCTAGGGCCATCACACAACAAGGATGTCAATAAAGAATTAAGAGATTAAGTAGATCTTTCAGGGTAAATATGCAGGTCACTTTGCTGGTGTTATTGAAGTCTGTTAATGCATTTTACTTGAACCGTAACCTGACTGGTTCACTTTTATGATAGCAGAGATGTGAATCAGTAAAATTAACTAAATGCTAACTTTTTTTATTGTAGGAAGCCTTTTTGTTATGTTTAAACAGCATGGGAATATAATAACTATTTTTTTCCTTGAGACAGGGCCATCTTGAGCAATGTTTTCATAATGCATGCTCCAAGGAGTACTGAGTGGAGACACTGCCCCAAAGATTGACATGACAACGTAGAGGCTTTGTTTGTAGACCAAAGTGATTGAACTTTGGATGAGCTGGTTTTGAGCTGGGATATGCTATTTATCTGCTGTGGTGGACAAGGGATTTAAACAACTGGATTAAATGAAATTACAGAAGCAGGGTCTGAGTCAGGAGTTGCATTTACCATTTTTTGTAACATATTAGGAGCATTGAGACTTGCTTATGAAGGATGAAAAACAGTAGACTTGTTAGGCCTGCCTTTCTAGCATTGCTTTTTTATCTAAAGAGTGAAGCTTTGTTGAGGTGAATGGTAGTGCATAATGTTTAATTCAATTTACAGTTAACAACCTAAGTTATACACTATGTCAAGTATTCCTAGGCTATATGTCATGGGACAGTTTATTAGGGCTTTCCTAAATTAGTTGACATTTCTAGTCTGGATCTTGGAGAAAAATGCAGTGTGTTCCTGCAGCTGATTCTGTGCTTCTACCAACAGAAGGAATCTAAAGAGTTGAAAGAATCACAGCACCATACTCTTTTGAGTTTTCTGATTTACACAAGAATTTTTATTCTCTCAGACACGATAGTACCTGCACTTATTTCAATTATCTCCCTTGATCAACACTGACTAGCAGGGATTGTTAAAGCAGATTAAACTGGGGGACATTAAAACCTTGATAATAATGATGAAAGCTGGACACTTACCTGAGGTGGGCAGCACAGTGCAGAGTACTGGCTTGACATTGTAGATTTAGCTCCTCACAGGGAGCTACAGTAAGACCACATCACAGAGCTTCTGCACTTAAGTTATTAACCCCTCTCCTTCAGTACATAGTAAACCTCATGCAAGGTTTGTCTGTTTGGCCGTGGAGCTCTATCAGTACAAAACCGCCTCTGAAGCCAATTTAGCTGAGGAGGTCCTTGCTGCAAAGAGAATGAATTATTCACTATGCTCTTACAGTACTCATATGAATGAGGTGCTTGCCTCATCTGCCAGGTACGTTTGTAGCAATTGAAAGTGTCTGAGAGTTCTCTACAACAGCTCACAGCACCAGACTGATGACTGTTTTTCTGAATCTTCTCCATTTTTTTTTACAACTGGCACTTATTGATAATATTTCAGGACTTAATGGAGTTAGTGCTTTGGGTCACATTTGTGCTATGAAAGAGAGTAACAAGAATGTGAAGATATCTCCTCTGCTGATTTATCTGTGTCTTTTTCTTTCTTTACAGTATTTTGTTTGCAGACATTGTGGGGTTCACTAGTTTGGCATCACAGTGCACTGCCCAAGAGTTGGTGAAGCTGCTGAATGAGCTTTTTGGGAAATTTGATGAATTAGCTACAGTAAGTACAACCCTGATATTTCAATTTAATATACATTTCCTCCTGAAAAATGATGCATGAGTTACACATGTTAGAAATCTGTAATAGACTGATGTAGCCCCACATGTCATGAATTTCTAAAGCTTCAATCTTTTATTCTAGAGGAAAAACAATCTTTTTAAATTGTTTAGGAAAGAAGCGTAAGTCCTATTTTAAAATATACTTTTCTTCCCCCTTCATGCAGTCTATCAGTCTTCTTCATTGGTTTCGTTTGTACAAAATAGAGAAAATTTTTCAATATTTACATTTTTATCCTTCATTGAAAAAAGATTCAGAACAACGGAAAATATGCATATTGACAGTCTGGTATAAAATTTTCTGTGATAATAGGAAGCTAGAGAGTAAAATTCATTCCTGAGCGAGAACACTCCTTAAAACAGAAATGATGGTAGCTTTTCAGAGGGAGGTTATTGTAGGCAAAATAGGATCCATATCATCATTGATACCTATGTTTTTGGTGTTGCACTTATATTGTACTAGATTCCCCAAGGAAGAGAAAATGACAGAAATGTTCCTTGCCTGTAACTCCAAGCAGCCGTATTTGACAAGAACCATTTGATGGGAAATGAGAGGAATTGCTGTGCCAGAAAAAGTCACACATCTTGTTTCAAATTACATTTAACAAGATGCTGAAAATGTGTTTTCCCCCTGAACAAAGCAGAACTTCATCAAATCTATCTTATTTGCCAGCGGTCCTTAAAACCTTCATTGCTGAGAAGGAACTCTTCCACATAAATTATGATCCTTGACTGTCTAGCTATTTTGTCTTCAGACTCTGTGCAAAAAGCCTGAGTTTTTCTATTCAGCCTGCAAGGATTCTTTTTCAAATTAAAAAATAAAAATAAAAATAAAAATAACAATAATAATAATAATAATAATAATAATAATAATAATAATAATAATAATAATAATAATAATAATAATAATAATAATAATAATAGTATAAAAAACCAATAACAACAACCAAAAAAGACATCTCATGGTTTCTTTCAGCTATGTGAGGAAGATTTGCTCCTTAGGGGTACTTCTAGTTCAGACTGTGCTTCACTGAGGTGTGATAAAGGACAGATATACAAGCTTTCCTTAGTGCCTTGTGATGTGATTAAGGGAGACTTGTAATTGTGTCTTCTGCTGAGAATTACAGTTTTTCAGAAGGATTCTGATCTCTTGGTTAAAGCAGCTTCTAGGTATTCATTATTAGGTCAAAACAGAGGACAGGGCTGATTTTAAAACTGTGTTGTGCTTGAGTATTCAGAATGATTAAGGAGGAAATTGCAGAGACTTTAAAGAGTGTTAACAGTGATAGGTAGGATCCCTCTGTTTAGTAAAGTGCAATCTGTGAGTGTTCCTGTTGTGTGCTGCTGTTTCTTGGGAAGCAATGTCAACTGGAAGGTGCAGTTTATGATTACTATTCTTGAAACAATTGCCCTGTCTTAAAAATATAATGCTTTAAAAGAATCCCTGTCACCACTGTAGAAAGTGTAATAAGTATAAGGCAGCATGTATTTACATTTATTCAAGTTGAATCTTGGCATTTGGGCAGATTGACACATTGTAGAAATAATGGGTCTTTGCTTTTTGACAGTACAGTTCTGCTAAAATTTGTCCTTCTCACATTTAGAAGCTGGTTTTTGCTTTTTATATCAGTTATTTCTCTCTTTCCATGTGCTCTGTCCTTAGACGATTTTTGTTTTGTGGGTTTTTGGTAGTTTGTTTTTGTTTGTTGTTTTTTTTGGTAAGGCACAAAGTTTTACTCTCTGAAATGCTACACCTTTTTTTTTTTTAAATCACAATAGCTTCAGCTATAGTTGCAACTGTGACAGGGAATTCTGAAAGTGAACCTTAGGTTTCAATATAAAGTCATTCAATTCCTTTGAAAATGTACTTCAGCATTCAGTTAGTAGAGAGGGGGAAAAAAAAATCCTGATCTTACTACTCCCTCCTAGAAATAATTTGTACTTTTATCATGTTCTTTCATGTCTATTCACCTCTAGAGGAAGTGTGTTTTTTAAAAATTTACCTTGCACAAGTTATTTTACCTTGCAAATCACCGAGTTTGAGAAGAGTGCTAGGGAAGATTTGATCAGAATACAGTACTTAAAATCATAAAATATCTTGAGCTGTCAGGAACCCATAGAGATCATCAAATCAAAAGCCCTGCTCATTGCAGTGCTACTAAAACTAAACTATATGACTAAGAGCATTGTTCAGATGCTCCCTGAAAATGTTGGCATGATTTACGTTTCATTTTTCACAGTATTACCATTTGGTTTCCTCAAGGAACAGTCCTCAGTAATCATACAGGATTTTGCAGTCTCCTCAGTTACTTTTGAGCCCTAAGGCCAGCTTCAATCACTTTGAAGGAATGTGAGTTTCAAAAATATAAACAAAAAGAGTGTCATTATTAGTGTCCTTGCAGGAGTGTGACTTCATCCTAGACAGACATCAGAGAATCCACACACAAATGCCTCAGGGTTCATTTGTATGTCTGGTTACAAGTTTTGTAATGTCACTGTCTTTAGGCACCCTGATACAAGCATTTTGGGTTTCTCCATGCAAGGATTCCCTTGGGACACAACAATAGCAAGCCACCTTTCTGAACACAGAGTTGATGAAGTTTCTCATAAGGCCCATGAATAACTCAACTAAAAAGGATTAACTTCTATCGCATTTTATCTGCTGCTCAGACTTAGTTTACTTCGTTCTGGCTGCTATTATGAATTTCTTTGGTTTCCTTCCATTAAACAAGAGTAGCTTTGTGCAGTCTTAAGATTTGGCCCTGCTGATAGACATTACATCAATAGATGCTCCAATAAATGCTTCAAACAACTGATCTTTGAATGAGGTCTTCAGATGCCTTGCAATCAACCTTTGATACTACAGCTGGCTTTCAGTTTGTCGCTCTTCAGCTTACTTGTAAGAGTGACAGATTTTAATGAGATATAATCATTTGCATGATGCTATCATGGTCAAAGTTCTATTATGTTTTGAGGCAGTTTAGACATGTCCCAAATATTTTACTGGTAATATGTCATTTTAATAGAAAAAAGGAGGCAGTTCTACAGCATCCTGAATTTTAATGAAACAGGTTTGATTTTTAGAAAAGTTTCTATTTTCTCTAATTGCTCTTTTCTTTGGTAGATTTTTTTTTTTCTCACACACTTCCTGCATCTAAACTACATGGAGAATTAATTATTTGTCTTTAGAGATTCAGATATTTCCCTTTCAGCATCCATCTTTCTGCATCTTGGGCTTCTAAGACTTTTCATTTACAAGCTGACAAGATGAAAGAATTTTAGGTGCTTTTCAAAGGACATCTCTAGAAGAGGGTTTTGATATTTTGAATTAAAGTTCTTATTTCTTCATGCCACTTTTGGTATCTCATCTATGAGGTAGACTGGTATACACCATCTCCTGTTCCTTCCATTTACAGTTATGTATACCTCCAGGCTTTGTCAGGCTGAGTCTATTTTTATTTTTTTCCATTTTAATTTAGTATCCTTCCCTGATTGCCTTCTTAGCATTTAACAGTTTTTACTTTGCATATTTCAACATTACTGAAGTGTCTCTTTCCGCCAGTTCAAGCTCAAAGATACTGAACTGAAAAACATTGTTTCTTAGCCTTAGGCAAAGAATCAGTAGATAATATTTTTATCAGCTTGTGTGTTTCTTAACTGTGTCAAGAACAGTTAGTTCTTTGCTGAGCATTGAACTAGATTTTCCTAGAAGTAATCACTCTAAAAAATTGTTTATATTGCATCTATAGAATACTTTTAATTTATATTAAGATAATTATGATGTATTTTTAAAATAAAAAATGAACAAAGTTTTGTGGACTGTTTAAGATGGGAAAATTGGTGCCGGAAAGCTTAAGTATGAACTTAGAGCATGTAACCCTTCTTTGTGAAAATTGGTGTGCACTGAGGGGCAGGATATTTAAAAAAGCTAATTTTAAGGAGACTTGTCTCCTCAGTTCCCCTGGAAAGTCAGCACAGACACAGGATCCCACTGAGGCAGATCACCACATAAGTTTACAGTTTTCTAGGGGAAAAGTTAACTTTACACACTCTAAGTACTGTAGGAACATATAAATGGGCAAGTACCCCAGAGAATAGGTCTTGCCTATTTTAGGTATATATTTTATTTTAGGTATATGTATTTATAGTATATTTTAGGTAAGAGGATACTGTGCTTGGTATGCTAATTCTTTGTCACAATTCTTGTCATAATTAATATGCTTGTAGTAAATTTCCAAATGGTTCCTGAGTTTGTATACTGCAAATCTGAAGTTTGCATCTTTGTACAGGACTGTATTGGATTGTTCTAATCAGCCTCAGGTGCTTGAATTGTGGGCATATGTACTGACACTTCTTGTTTTGACCTGTTGTGTAGTTACCATCGAGAAAAGTACTTCTGAAATCTGGAAAAATAACAACTATTTTAATTTAGAGCTTAATTTTTCATCATTTTATAGTGTATTTGTTTTAGGCTTTCTTCTCCTGGAATATACCTTCATAAAAGGACAGAATCTAAAAGGATACTTAATAAATCCTAGGAAGGAGACAAGCATGTGTGTCAGTTATGATGATTGTATAAAATGCTCTTGCTAAAATCCTTGTTCATTTCCAAGTAAATTAATATATATTACTGTTGCATAGGTTTTCACTCTCCAGAAATAAAAAACTTTTATCATTCTAGTTTTGTAAAATTACACTCAATGTGAAGTAAGGAATGAATTGATCATAAGAGTGAGAATGTAGACAAAAGTTAGGTCATTTTAGGTCAGCATATATAATTGCTAATGAAATTGAGGGAAAGCATTTAAAGCAAATGTCGTCCTTTTTATAGCTAACCTGGATAATTCTACATTTGTTCATGCATAATGTGGCTCCTATGATGGTGGATAATTTGTAATGACTTCACAAACACATCACTAAATTAAAAGCTTACAAATTCTCATC